TTACAGTACAATATATTGATATTCTGCACCTGCGCCGTATAATCTCTCACGTTCGTAAATCAATTGAAATAGCAGAAAATATCCGTATAGCGCTAGTTTGTATCATACAAACACTTGTCAAACAGTGAATTTGAAATACAAATAGCGAGTACAAACACATCAAATATGCGAAATCAAGTATTTCACAATACCTCTCAATCTTTGAATAAAAAATATTTGCCTACTACATGGAAAACCCATTGTTTATTCCCGTCGGGATTGGTTTGCGCTGTTGCAAACCCACATATACATGTTTTGCACTCGTTTGTGGCGTAGTTTTCGTTGGTGCAAAAGGTGGCCGAAATAGAAGTGATCTCAACATATCAGGACCGCTATTAGCACTACAGTGACTTACGAGAGAACTTGCAAGTGTAACTATTTAGTGATTTATGCTACAGAATACGAAAGTGTTCAAATTATCCTGACTGAATTCGAAATACATGAAATACAATTGATGAAGAGGAATTTAATTGCAACACTGAAAACTCGAATTCTAGAAAACTGTAATATCAGTATGGTGTATTAATAAAGAGTAACTTGGATTTACAATTTCTATGATGGGACATTTCAAAATACTGTAAAGGAGTACACATATACATTATGACTAATTTGGACACTATTTAGGCCACTGCTATCAGAATTAATATGACGTTATTACGACAATACAGAATTAGCGAACGTCTTTGTGTAGAGTTCGGTCGAACCCTAGTGGCAGCCATGTTTGTTTTATTGGAGGACGCTTACGCGCGTAATCATTCCATATTTGGAATTCGCATTTCCTTATATGTTAGGGTGAAAATACCCCGTAAAATACCTCAAAATTACGGCACGCTGTAACTTATGGCGTTACGGTGACAGATGTATAATAATAAATATTATGTTAGATATATATAGGTGTATGTGTTTTGCAATTGCATTAAGGAATGCCGAATGGCGGACATTTAAGTTCACAAATACATCATATTGAAACATTTTTGGTGGTTTATCAGACTTGGTTCAAACATTTATCATCATGGAGCATTGTGATGCAATGACGATGCAAATAATACTCACCAAAGCGAACCATGGATGCCGTCATAATCGAGTGATGAGATATACAGACAATTTCCATTGGGTAACCCATCATATGGCTTAGATCTTATCTTATCTTATGAACATTTTTCACAATGTGCATATAAAATACCAATGGTCAAAGAGTGTGATCAGATTTGGCGATTCGGCTTAGCATACACTTATTTGCTCTATACGGCTACGCTTTCAAAACATACAAAAAACACCGTTTAAATGTATTTACAAGATGCTGACTACAATTATGGCGTTAACAGTCATAATAATATTCTTAAAATCTGCGATTACTTATACGGAACCCTTAAATTAAAATGAGATCGTCCCCAATTGCGAAACGATATCATTTTGGGTCTACCATCATTCTAATGTCTTCTTACTACTCATCTGATGCAAGGGTTTTATCAAACATAATGACATTGTCGTTGTCCTCATCTTTCGTGACTTTATTATAATACCCCTTATAATAACTTCCACTATTGCCCAAGCTAGATAAACAATGTGAAAAAAAACAGTGAATCATACAATAACCTCACATTAATGAATAAGTAGAAAACATCAATCTTTACAGATGTTATATATATTAGTATTAATTATTTAGTGGGTCACGTGATACCGATTTATTATTATAAAAACAAGCAACTTAATGTATCACCTTAATGTGTGACGACTCTCCTTTTTCGGTAATTTTGATCATGTTGTGCAACACGTTTGTATCATCCAATCTTCAACATAATATACAGTAAATGCATTGATTGTTCGCCAGTTCGTAATTTCGCTACTTTCGCTGATAGGTGAAGACAGCTCATTTAAATCTACGTGAACATGCAAAATAACACTAGAATTCATTATTTTCTTTCAATTTCGTAAACGCCGAACCCAACAAAATTGCTCAAAGCATCAAAAGAATAAAATTAAATGCCAATGAGAATACATGTTTCTAAAGTATGAGACATTGACGAATTGTTTCACGTGTTTTTGTTCCCATCACATCAAATATGTGATTCAGATTGAAGTCAAATTAGACGGTATTTATATTTATAAAAAACGGTTCTTATTCATGCTCCTAACATAGTTGGTCATCATATATATATAAATGTCAGTATCAGAGGGAATATGTAGAGGTAAAAGTATTATCGATATCTCCAGTAGACATTCTAATTTACGAAGGCAAATATGTGAATAGCACAGGTGATTGTATACTACTCATTTGTAATCTATGTCGTATCTAATAATAAATATAATATAATAAGGTAAATATAATCTCCATCATTTCACAAATATAACGAAACAACAATTATTTTGGTAAAACATGCATATATAAATGTATTAATTTAATTACTTTATGCATTTATGCTTTAAATATTTTACGTTGCTTCTATTTCCTGTTTTTAATTACATGTTCTTGCTTTATATCACTTTCCGAAGACGGATTCGTGTCTATAAATGTATTATTATTAATACATCTAAAGTTCTTCATTGTGCGAGGTGAGTGAATGCTTAGTGCGGATGTGAATGTATTGCACATGTGTACATTTGGCACCTGTGAGGGAGCCTCGATACTACCTACTCATTATAACGTTTTGTATTACATGAAATCTAGATTATAATTAAATACGCTTAAGGGTTCGTCAGTTTTCATCACCAACCTTGCAGTTTTCATTGCGAGTATTTTTATATTCAAGTTATTATTACAACCTTGAGCTGGTAATTAAATATATTAATTATATTATTTTGCTGTGAGATGGTTTCCTTAATGGCTTTGCGGTATTATGTAGGAAGAATGTGTAACGAAGACAACACATATGTTTATATGAACGACGCTTGTTTCAGACACTTACAAATACTCCTACTAAGTGTAAAATTACAAGGGGGGACTAAATCAATAGTTTGAAATACCTTTACTAACAAATTCACTTTATAAAATGAACTTATTGATAAAAGAAACATTAACTAATTTTGTTTTTATTACACTAAACATGTGTTTATGTATAAGGTATAACAAATACATATGTGAGAAATTCCTTAATAATTTAATAAGGAATGTCGATTTTATTTTTATTTTCCTCAAACAATTAATTATCGAGTAACAATTAGCGTCTTATTTTGGTGAAATTAAAAAGTAGATTTTAATTATTTTTTATGGTAGTATCAGTGACTACACAGACAAGTCTGTTATTAAAAAAGTCACGCTTTAGTAGTGGGCAACCACACCGTGTCACTTGTTCTCATTATGTCCAACCTGTTGGGCAATGATGTGATGTAAATTAAATATTATTCTGTCAATCTCTAAACGAAATTTTAATTGTCGGGTCGGTCTGTAATATATATTATAGTTGTTCACTCTGAACTGTGAAGATAGACATCAATAGACAATACTACAAGTATCGAGGAGCAACATCACGCTTCAATGAAACTACTTCTATACAGTCGACTAGTTACCAGCACATTTTTTTCATACAGTCATGCTGTGGAGATCATATCCAATTACTTTTGAGATATACTGCTGACTGTATTATGTTAAAATAAGATATTCATCATCACATTATATACATATATATTGTTGTTTGTATGAAATCTTGTTTGTATAGTCGGCAACTAAGTTTGGAACAAGATTGTCTAAACATTTATATTTTCTTCATAAACTGTTATTTCATGTTTCAATTAAACATCAAATAATGTCTATGCCTAAAGTGTTTTTGTAAATTTTTCTGTGCCTCACAATATCAACATTGAATGTCGCAGGTGTCTACTCTGGCTTTTACGCACAATTTGTTGTTAACAAATATAGTAAGTTTAACTGACAGCGTCATCAGTTGGGATTTGTGAGAACGCGCGGGCCATAAAACTATCATTACACACATATACTATAATGCAAAGCGCAGATTGCGTTATAAAGTTACACCTCTTGAAAGACCATTGATCACAAGGGGGGATAAATCCATAGTTTGACATACCTTTACTAACAAATTACTTTATTGATAAAAAAAACGAAGAAACATTAACTAATTTTCTTTTTATTACACTAAACATGTGTTTATGTACAACGTATAACAAGTACATATGTGAGAAATTCGTTAATAATTTAATGTCGATTTTATTTTTATTTGTCTCAAACAATCAATTATCGAGTAACAATTAGCGTCTTATTTTGGTGAAATTAAAAAGTAGAATAATTATTTTAATTATTTTTTATGGTAGTATCAGTGACTACACAGACAAGTCTGTTATTAAAAAAGTCATGCTTAAGTAGTGGGTAACCACACCGTGTCACTTGTTCTCAGTAAGTTCGCCCTTTTGGGCAATGATGTGATGTAAATTAAATATTATTCTGTCAATCTCTAAACGAAATTTTAATTGTCGAGTCGGTCTTTAATATATATTATAGTTGTTCACTCTGAACTGTGAAGATAGACATTAATAGACAATACTACAAGTATCGAGTAGCAACTAGTCTCATGACGGTTTCATAATGAGATTATTACATAGTATTCACAGGTATGAGTGTTATAATTATAGTTACCTGTCTGATAAACATAAGCTGTACGTATATAACATAAACTACTAATAAGAGATACTATGACGTATGTACATACAAACATACTTGAACGTTACTTCAAATCGACCAGAGATATAATTATATAATTTTAAGTCACGACTCGATGGTTGGGAAATGTATTTTACCTATAACTACGTTTTTTTGTCATAATTCGCACTATATGTGGGGAAAACCACTACAGCTAGAAACTGGGAACTTTTTACAACATAAGTATGGGAATTCGTGTACTGCAGTCACGTGTATTCGTTTTCAAATGCCTTCCTATGTAATGTAGTTTGTTTCATATCTCGGTGTATATACAGATGTAATAGAGCAATATAATGGCCGACTACGTGGATTACTCTATATTACTTAGTCTATTGTCATTGCAGCGAAACACTGTTTTCACCCCATCTCGGAACTGCTTGTATTTAATTGCGTATATAAAGGGATTCACGCACATGTTAAGGAACACCATGACAACCATCGCCCAATAATAAAATGCATCGTAATCAAGGGGCCCACCAAGGTTGTAAACAAAAAATGATATGGACATTGGTGACCAACATATTATAAACGTAACATGCACGATTATCATTGCCTTTGTCACATTCTTCGGAGCCCTTCCCATCGAATCTTCTTTAGATGTGTTGTTTAAGACTGCAGCTTGAATGGTTGATTGATCTCTAATTTGATTTTGCAGTTGGAGTGTAGGCTGGTTTGGTAGTGCCGGGCAATGTCCACTGACAGCAGCTGGTTGAATTTTAATATGCTTTGTTCGACGTCTCAACTTTCTAATTATGTTACCATATGAGAACGCCATGATTGTGAGTGGGAGAATATACTCCGTGGTGAAGACAATACACCCGACCAGTATCTGCATGTTGCTGTTAGGCCATTCTTTTACACTACATACGCCGCCCTCGTTGAAATTCATCGTTGGCCAGTACGATTCACGTATAAAACCAATAAACCAGGTGATGATAGTAATGATTTTCACTTTCGTCAAGGTCACCTTATTTCGATGCAGTACGGGATGACAAATAGCCAGATACCTTTCAAGCGATAAGAACGACAAGTTGAAGGTGGATGAAATGAACAAACCCCAGAGTATGTACTCTGAGCTCCACACTTTACAGAACAGTTCGCCAGAGGTACTGTTCGGCGTCACTTCGTATACGGGACCGAATTTCAACGTGACAAATATGACGGAACTGCTTAAGTCTATCAAGGACTGGTTGAAGATAAAGACGTTTGTATACGTCTTCTGCATGTTTTTGATTTTTATGAACACCACGCAAACGAGCAGGTTTCCAATGATACCCAGGCAGCCGAATGTAGCATAGATTATCTTCAGCACTATCTGCCCGATTCTGACTTCTTCCAAGGAATCGTTTGATGGCAGAAACGGCGGTACTGTCGAAGCTGTTTCATTCACTGTATTATTCATTATGAGATGAACCAATTTGTCTTAGCGACGTGTTTCCTGTTTTCGTTACTTATTCCGTACAGTACATCACATCATATGTCGATCTCAATGTCATATTTTTGTGCGAGATAGTTATTTAGTACCTGCTTGAAGCGACGGAAATCTGATTTATCAATCCATTGCACGTGTTGACAAGTTTGGTAGTTTTCCTCACTGGCTAGATAACTTCCATCTACCGGAGGAGAAACCTGTCTGATATCATCATTCCAGAATCGAAGTGAGAAATTGCACAGCTCCAGAGTGCGATGCATTCTACATCAGATTGACAGATCAAAATAAAGGTGGGCTATGTTACCTTATATGGTATCACTAGAATATAAAATAAAAGATGAAAGAACCAATCACATTACATTTTGTACATTGTATATTATATAGCTATGTTTAAATTTGCGTATGTGTGGTACAAAAATATATGTTCTATCACGGTCTAGTTGTTACGATAGTTATTATCATAGCATAGCTATTAGGCTCTCACTCAACATAGCATTACAATGACACTAATTGTTTAACGTTGTCGTTATCGTATTAAGGCTGCACTCAACATTAACGTCGATTAATGACTTTCTACATATTATGTACACATATGCTCAGTATGCTTACACATTCATCCCGTAAAAAATCTATGCTATTCCAGATTATTATGTCATTGCTTCTCGACGCAACAGAAATTGTACTATTTTGCTCTGTTGTCGGCGCCCTATTTCTAAATACTTGAATTACATGTCATAATTATTTGTTTTCAATTGGCGTCGGAAAACAGTTAAACGAATCATTTTCACTTGCTCCACTATCTAGATCAGTACATCTCACAGACATTGATTATCATGCAGGAAAGTAAGTTGCTAGCGTAGTGGAACACTAAAGTTGCTTTAATCGGCATACAGGCAACGACCACGTGTAATGTATTGACTAGTTACGCTTTTATGAGTATACTCGCTGTTCTCGCAATATAATTATATATTATACAAACTAAGTGATTAAGCATATGAATAAGATACGTGAAAAACTCTTATTTGAATTTTCATATCAAATTGGTGCCAAAACAAATCTTGTATTGTATGTGGTGGTGGTATTGTTTGTAACTGGTGAATTGTGGTTTGACAACCCGATGATTTATGTGCCATTGCAATCCAATATAAACCGAACATGAAGTGTTATGTGAAATAAATGCAAACACGTATGTTTAACCACGCATTGCGTTTGTATCGTAACATCCAAACATAACTGAATATGAAAGGCTGGAAATTAATACTGGTGCATCTGTGTCTATTT